TGTTTGACTAATAAAGAAATAAAAATACCATAAGTCCCCACTCCTAGGTGGTAAGCCAGGTGGGGAGGGGGAGGAGGCCTCTAGAAGGTCACTTTTTTTAGGGTTTCACTTATATCAGGAAAACTATGCATCGCATCAACAAAGACGTTCTATACAATATTAAAACTGATAAAATTTGCAATATGGTTGATTCTATACATTTTTTTGCTACCTCGCTTAGTTAGCGAGATATCTATCTTCAACTATGGCGAATTTGAAGAAAAATAAATTTGAATCTCCGGCACTTCTTTCTATTACCTCCTTTTCGGGCATTCGTTGACGACATGAGGGGACTAAAGCTATGTAAAACACACGTTTCCCGGCAACCTTATAAACTCAAGTTTACATGATAAAATAATTATGAGTTCGCGTCTTGGTGCTAGGAGAGTTTTAAACATCCCTGCCTTCCACCAAGGAAAAGCTTGGTATAGTCGCAATGGCGAAGGGGTGGACCAAAATAAAAATATTGAGATGTGTCAGGTTTGTACATGCTCTTATAATAGTCCGAGAACCCGTGGTAAAAAAGGTGTCATATTTCATACTATGCTTTGTCCTTATAAATTGATCATATCCACAGGCCTGATGAGAAAAAGTTTTTCTGTATAGTTTAGAAGTTTATTCATTAAATTATAATTGCTCTAGCCTTTGACTGGTTGAAAATAATATCGTAAAATAACATATATTATTAAAGAAAATTTAATATTAAACAACTTTCTTACTCATGACTTTTTTGTAAAATGAAAAGATAAAGAGTTGGCGAGTCAAATAATGATAAAAATGTGATGCAAAAATTATTTTTTCGAAATTAATGAATTACGAGGGTGAATATCATGGAAACTATAGGATATAGTGAATAAACAAATATAACCATTTCTACTGCCAATTGTGTCAGCTTTAATTTCACATATCACACTATTATAGATATAACACATAGTTTTACTGATATAAGCGAAAAACTGATAAAAGTAAACTTTTCAATCGTAAATTCAATTTTTAGTCTAATTCTACGCTTTTAGGAAATCTACGAGTATGGGGTAACTGCCTTTTATTTCAGGTCTTAAGACTGTAAATAATATAAATTGAAAGAGTTGGTAGCTTTATATATCTATAAGCTCTCTCTATATATACGTGTGTAAGCTATGTAAGGTCTCTTCTATCTTCACATGGCCGCCATTTTGAATTCTAGCGGCTTGATATCTTCTTCAGGACGAACAGGTGCTTGCCAGCCTATGAATTGCCAAGACCGTTGTCACATGCTTTAAATAAAAATATAATTTAAATCATATAAAGGTATCTATCGTTCGCCAATATTAAACATACAGTTAAAAATCTGAAGGCAACCCAACCGTTCCTGAACTATCTGTAAAATCGAAGTTTTCAACAATACTACTAATCGACAATAGGATATCTCTAAACTAAATTTCTGGTTGCTGCAGAGTTCATAACTGAATATAAAAATAACAACTTCCATAAACGACTCCCATTGGCATCATAGCTTTAACGACGATGTTCGATGATTCAGATGGTTTTTATAATGTGATTTTGAATGGATATAGCGATTGGATTTACTGACTCAATTTCTTAGAGTTTTTAGAAAAAACGGTCGTATATAGCGACATTTGAACTCCTAAAAACCTTTGTGTTAATATCTCACTTATTGAGGAAATATTTTATTTCATTCGTTCTCTATGTAAGAATCACATTTATAGGACCAATTTCATTCCCACGCTTAGTGTTAAATTCATATTTCTGTTTAGTAGTTTAATAAGAATAACGAAGACCAAAAGTTCTAGATATAAGAAAAATTCTATACATGTTGCCGACTGGAGACTGAAGAGTCTAATAATATCTTGGCTCAAGAATTCAACATAAATCTTACAATTTGAAAAAATTATGAATCTAATCAAGGACATGCTGAATCAGTTATATCCAAAAAAACAACGACTACCTATCTACTCACGACAAAATCGGTATTTCTCAATATTCCGCTATTAGACAAGTAACTATCGACAATTTTATTTAAAGGAAGGACTTATAGTAAGTAACCATTTTAAAATATAGATAAACCTCATCTGCACACACAACTTTGTTGAGTCAGTTGAAAACTTACTTTCTATACAAAAATTTAAATTAATGAGGCGAAATTTGATGGTCCATTTAACGGAAAATCTGAAATTTTGATAAGATGTAAAGAATATGTTCCTAAAAGAATACACCTTGACCGATGACGTCAAAGTTATCACATTAGGGCAGTCCGATAGTAGTTTGTTGAAAAAAAAATTCAAATAGTCGGTTTCTCTTCAGCTTTTTAGGGATACTGATTTTAATTTGACGTTCCCGAACGATATGTTCTATTGCGTATCGAGATATATGCAAAAACATCAAAATTTCCGAACTTTTTTTAGTTTTTTGGACATGACTCCAAAACTGTGTATTTTATCGAAATTATTATTATGTACAACGTTAAAGAAGATAAAATTTACTATCAATTTTATGAATAGCTTTTTGATGTAGGGCTAACGGGTGAGCAGTAAGAGAATATTGACTGTTTGCATTTTTCACAAGAAAAATATTTTTGTCGGTTTTCCCCCAAAACTCATAATCTATGCATCTATCGAAGAAATTCAATATAATCAATTTGAAAGAGCATTAAGTTCCGTATGTACATCATACAGAAACTTTAATATGTAGGAAGTAAACGGCTGTTAAAGCTCAGAGAATCTAAGCCGTATTTCTCTTGTAGTATCTGTCGTTCACAAACTAAGTGCTTTTTATCTTTTCAATGCTTTATTTTCGGCTAACTTAACTATTTTATAACAGAACTAGGATGTATAAACATATTACATAGTTTTTATATATTCTGTTGATATGCATAACAATCATCACAAAATTAAGGACCAAAATGCGTTTTAAAGTCAGAGCAGTCCAACGATATTTTGCTCATTCATATATTACGACTCTACCTAAGCATCAATTATGTGAAGCTGCCAACGTTCTCCTTTAGTTAACCAACGAATAGATGTATACTTACAGATAGTAAATAGTATTGTTATATTTTCTTTTTTAAAAAGCACTGTTTTAACTTCATTTTGCTTACATTTTATTAATTACTCTTGTTTAATTCCAATATATAATGGCCAGGGCCGTTATTGACTTTGACAAGTGGATAGATATAGGTTATATAACAATATAAATATGAAGATGGTCTGGTCGTCTATAACAATTATACATTAAACAACGAAATTTACCAGGTCTCTTTAGGCCGTTATATTAATCCACTGTGTATTAATTCCAATTTAAAAAGAATATTTTCGAGTTAAAAAAATTCCCTGACTTTTCCCGGTTTTGAAAATTCCCTGACTTTTCCAGTAATAACTCCACCCTGTAATAACTCCTTAGAATTTTCTCCTAAGTCAACGTTACTAAAACTGTTGGAAAGCTATATTATTGCTCTTCAAAACCATATTGCTAACTTTTAGATTTATAAGTAATAAAAAAATAAAAACTCAACAAATAAACGTTTTTATTTTTTATCTTCAAGCCTAATTTACTTGTGGTCGTCTAGTTTGTGCCGTTTTGTGTATATTATAGGACCCTAAATTCATGCTAATTTTCATGTGGATAAGTGGAACCATGTCAAAGTTATCACAACATTTATTTTTGAAAAAAAAAATTATTTATTTATTTACAACTGTATTAAAAAATAAAATACATTTAGTAAATTTTATAATAGGAAATAATAACACGAAATCACTTGTAAGAAACTACCCACTGGCAGCACTCTACTTTAAAAAAAAAAAAAAAAAATTGAATATTACAACTGTTAAATAAATATTTAAATATTAAGGACATTTTCATTCAATTTTTTTTTCTTTCGATATTAGTGAATTACGAGGACAGATAACACGGAAACTATAGAATATAGTGAAAAAAATAATATAACCATTTCTATTACAAATTTTGTCAGCTTTAATTTCATGCATGACATTATTTTAGATAGAATGCATAGTTTCACTGTTATAGGTGAAAAACCAAAAAAAGTAAACTTTTAGGATTGTAAATTCAATTTTTCGATTTAAAATCCACGGGTATAGGGTAACTGACTATTATTTTATGTCTTAAGACTGTAAATACTATAAATTGAAAGATTTAGTAACTTTATATATCTATGGGCCCTCTCCATATATACGCCTGCAACATATGCAGGGTCTCTATCTATCTTCACATGGCAGCCATTTAGAATTCCAGAGGCTATATGCTGACAGACGTGCATTTTTCTTATCAGGCCTGTGAATATGATCAATTTATAAGAACAAAGCTTAGTAAGAAATATGACACCTTTTTTCCCACGTGCTCCCAGACTATAAAGACATAATATTATTTTTTCAGATTTGTGAAAATCAATGATGATTTCTTTAGCTTCTTAATAGCATTTAATATAAATACCATTGTTAATATGAATATAGTAAGCTGTATGAGTCAAATGTTTAATTTGAGCTGAAATATGGTGCTTACAAATATTTAAAAGCTAAATAAAACATAAGATACTAAAGAGAAAGAAACGGGGACTACATCTAATATTATATTAATAATTTTCTAGTCATAATCAATATCCTCAGTGCCATAATAAAGTATAAACTTGATAATCAACAAGTATTACCTTATATAATAATCAAGACACAGATGAAGGAACGACCTGAGAAAGGAAAACTGACAATGATTTTAGCTTAAGGTGATTTTTATTCAAAATGAGATAGATGAAATGAAGATGCATATGATTGAAAATGGCTCTATTTAGCTGAAATGTCACAAGAAAAATTAAGGAATATAAGAAATATTTGGTGCACAATAGGCCTGCCATAGGCCACAGTGCATTAGTGCTACTGGAAAAAAAAGGAATATAAATATAATATAAATTAAAATTATCATGTAACTACATATTTAAAAAGTTATTAACTAACCAATTTACATCTGTAAAACGCCTGCTTAGACTCTTGTATAAGACTAATAACCAATTCTTCAGATAAAAATGTTTCTCCTCCATAATCTTCAATTTGAGCAATGTTAATATTAGCTCTTGTGCCAATTACAGCTTGAAGATCACGTCTAAAGTCTTGAAATCTTAAAAAAACAATAATATTAATTACTAGTATACAGGAAAATAACTCAATTCTAAAATTCCTCACGATAAATATCATTAAATCTTTGAGGCTTCATGCAATCAACATTAGTTATGATACCAAGAAAGGCTAGTTGATGAAATAGTTAAAACATTTTCATGAAAAGTTTTACTTTACAAACTTTGTTTTATGTTAAGAAAGTTATTATTAGTAACATTAAGTGCAAACTGATCCAAAGCTAGTTTCTAATCTTGAGAAAAAAGGATTGTCAGGTCGAGGAGTGGTCGACATCTCATATAGTAAAAAAAAAGAGATCCTATTATGAAATCAAATAATAGCTGACTAAGATTTTTTTATAAATTTGTTGGCTTAGAGCACCTCGACCATTGAAGGATCTATTGTGCGCCAATTAAGCTGTTTGTTTATTCTCAAAACGTTATTTTTGCCGCTTCTGCGTATCTTAGTAGGCTAGTTGGATTGACCGACTCATAGCTACTGGAGAGATCCATCTGTTCCTCCCCAAATAGTTCCAGTTTAAGCCTTGTGAATCTATCACATCGACAAACGATGTGAAAGGCTGTTTCATTCTCCTCTTGACAGAATCTGCATAGCAGATTCGTCGTCACTCGTGGTAGTTTAACTTACAGTGGCCTGTGTAGATCGCTGTAAGCTTTTTAAGAGCTGCTCTGTCCAAACTCAGCAGCAGTTTGCTTCTTTTTTAACATGGACCTTTAAGGAACTATTTATAGTGCGGTATACGAACATATGGATGATACCCAAAGGTTTCAAAGCGTTGAAAATCTTTGACCTACATTTTCCAACTTTGTGTAAGGTGATCACAGCTATTCGGTTTTCTTTATCACTCCACTCCATGTTAACTGAGTGAAAGAAAAATGCTAATTAATTGGGATTATTATCCTGATATGTAAATAAAATAACCTGATAGAGGTAAGGATTATCTAAATAATAGCCAAGGATGTAAACAAAGTTCAAATTTTGTAATAGTATTTATGGCAGAACTAGGTACACTCAAATCAATACAGCAGCTCATTGCTTCATTAATATCAATAATTGTGCTAGCTTCATTGGCTCGTTTTTCACCAAAACTGACTATTCTAACAAAAATATGCTTTTCTACATATTGAAAATATTCAGTCAATTAAACGAAGCACAACAGTCTTACATTGACCATCAATTACTAAATTATACATTTGTTTACATATTTTTCTTGATTTTTTTATATAATAATGTGTAATTAAGTTTTTTTTTTTTTAAGTAAAATTCATACTACTTCCACACGTATACATCCAAAAAAAAATATCATAATTAGAGGTTCAGATACTAGAATAAAATCTTGAATAACAACATCTAAAAACATTTATGTTCTGATTTTAAGATTACATTCCATAGGAATGTTAAAGTTCTTATGTTTTCATTATATTTCAAACTATTCTACACGAAATAGGCCATTTCTAGTAGGAAGACGAACCATCAATCAGCACATGGGTTAATCCTCAAATGTGATCCTCAGATGTTTCAGAATTACTGTATGATCAAGTTGGTGGAAAGATTTAAGAAACTTATATTAAATAACTGTTTATAAACGACAATATCGGTGAAATATAATTTATTTGTCTCAAAAAATAAATAAATAAAGGGATTCAGACAAACAATAAAATTAATGGTAACATACCCTCCAGACTGTATTTGTCGTTTATGGTGATCTTTGGAATCATAATATTTTTGTAACAATGTTGAACATTTTTCCTTTAAGCCCTTGACTTCGACACTGAAATATACAAAATAAAAATAAAGTAAACATTAATTGAAAAAAAAAAAGCGAAATAATTTTATAAACTTAAAAGAATTATGAATGACTATAAGTATTAGTAATAAAGATTCAAAAAATGACTGACCTTATATACGATTCTAAATATTTTTGAAATATATTATGAGTTAGCTTTTGAAGATATGAATCGTCAGACCCCATTTTGAAACAGCTCAATTCTGCAGATAGTTCAGTAGTCCTGAAATTAGAAAATACAGTGATCAATTAATAATATCTTTTAATCAGAACTAAAATTGAAACTTTCATTTTTAATTTTTTTTTCAAATGAAAATATTAATGATGATCAGTAAGTTTTTTTCATTTTCTCAAATTAATCCAATGAAAAATTAAATGAGGAATATAATTTGAATGATCAATAATAATTATGTACATGAACAAAGATGGAAAACTATTGGAAAATACTTAATCTAATTTAGGACTAATGTTATAAGTGGACATTAAATACATAATATAATAAACCAATATACAAAGAACCAAAGATAATCACTATGCAATCAAATTTTAAATATTTTTTTACTTGAAACTATAAACTTATTGACATAGTAAACGCATCTCACAGAACACCGAAGTACAGCTTTATAAGACCCTCGTAGGCCTGTTCAAACCTATGTGTCCAAATGTTGGACGATCTCTCATCCTTGAATCTCCTAATATTCGAGAGGCGGATCCTTAGAAGAATCTTTGGGCCAGTGTTCAGCGATAATTTTTGGCGACAAAGAACAAACACTGAAATAGAAAAAATGTATAATAAAACAAATGTCACCAGATCCATAAAGATTGCAAGGTTCCGCTGGACAGGCCATGTTGTTTGAATGAAGAAAAATGAGATCCCAAAGAAACTTTTGGAAGAAAGGCTATAGAGTAAGAGGAGAATTGGCTGACCAAGACTGTGGTGGGCTGATGGAATAGCAGAGGATAAGTGGGTCCATCTTGGGAGTAAGAAACTGGAAGGCAGTGGCAGCGAACCAAGAGATCTGGCAGTTGATGTTGCGGGAGGTCTTGACTCACCACTGAGATGTAGTGCCAGAAGTAACTATAAACTTATAACTTTTGTGAGCGACCTATATATTTTGTGCATTGATTATTTTTAAAAATCATGGGGCTTAAAACAAACAGCTTAAAAGAATTTAATTATGCACCTGAAAATACAATGACTTATTTTTACCCATACTTGTCTTTTTCCCCTTAAAAATTGGATAATATAATTTTTTTTAAATAATTTAATTAATCTGGTAAATTTAATATTATATGGTAAAACTTAGTGTAGCATTAGTGTTCCCCAACAGAAAAATCTTAGGATAAACATTTTTTATCGATAATATCTGGAATTATGATATATAAAAATTTTAACTTTTAAAAAAATTTCTCATTTAAGCACCACTTGACAATATGTATTTGAAATCTATTTTCAAACATTTCCTCTCATACAACTCGATAAAATTAACAAATGTAATATAAATAATTAAATTTATTATAACCAACTTGAGCATCAAAATAAGGCAGTAGTAGTACAAAAATTAAACATTTAAAAGATTACTATTTGCTATTTTAATTGAAAAAATATAAGTATTGTAATATTTGTTAATCATATAATTATCAAAACAATTTAATAATCAATGTTTGGTTTTTGTTAAAATAATTTAATAGAAAACGATTTCTATAAATCTCTGTTCTGAGGCACTGATGCACAAGGATCCAGAGTATTGAATTGAAAAAACAATTTGGTTTGGTGCAATAGACAATGCATCATTATGATAATATTATAATCTCTTAATTATTTTTAAAGTCACTTATATAATCCAGTCTGAGCTTTACTGGTTTTGAGATGATCCTAATGAAATTTGAATTTCATTGAATCAGCGTGATTTTCAATATAATAGTTTATTTTTATAGGTGGAAGTTTACTTTCTTTATTCTTAACTTGTAACAGCTGATGCTGGTTTGAAGTTCCAGCATTTGTTTAGTGATCGTCTGTCAATAAAAAGAATAAAAACCTGTACCACTACAACCCATGAAGGGTCTTGGGTTCAGCACTATGTGAGGAAGTACTGTTACAAGGCCAATCGTTGTGCAGGGAGGTGATTGGGCCGATATCACACTCAACTGTCAGGTTTTTCCTCTTAATTAATTATTTAATAAAGAATATCTACTTCATAGTAGTGGCTGGGTGTGCTCCAGGAGGGTCGATCCATGGCTGATGAAAAATTAGTAGTCATCAGTAAGATTCGAACCTGGGACCTTGAGCTCTGGAAGTCAGTGCTCACCCACTGAACTAGCCCCAATCATCTATTATCTCTTCTAAATCAAAAGGCCTTCCAAATTGTTACTGACTGAGATATTAAACTCATGACTATCATTACATTTTTTCTTTTGGTAAAATGTTTATTAGCCTTTGAGTTGACTAGTTGAAAATTATCGGGTGATATTCTGGTGAAAGGCATTTTGTAGGGAAATAATGTCAAAAAGAAATTAAAACAAAACATCATAAATAAAAAATAAATAGATAAATTAAAAGTCACTAAGTAACTTAATAACCATTGTCAATGAGCATTTAATACCATCCCCAATCATTGACAGTCAACAACAAACTGTTAACCTATAAATGGATCTCTTATGTACACAATAACTCATTGGTTATTGTTTTAACATAAAATTTCACTCAAATGTAATTAGGTATTTTCCAAAATGGAAAAAAAAAATAGAAAATTCCCCTTCAATAAACCACTAATGCCTTTATTGAATTGATCTCTTCAAAAATGTTATAATAGTGTCAGCAAAGTTGGTGTTAACAATAAACATGGAAATAATGTATACATGAATGTCTATTTTTATTTTTTTATTTTTTCAAAACTTTCAACACTTCTTTCTGGATTGCTCGTTAATGACCAGGTCTGTCATATGTTAGAAAAAACAGTCTGCAAACTAACATTAGTTGTCAGTACTTGTTAATTATAGTATTACCACTCTAGAATAATAATTTATCTAATATTAAAACATATGTTCATTGTTTTGTTATTGAAAAATATTGATATTCATTTTAAAAAGTAACCTCATAATGTACTCATTAAAAAGCATTTTTTGTGAGGTTAATGATGAGAAAACAGCAATTGCATTGCTTAAGGATAAAGAACTTTTACCAAGAATGAAGATATGTTCAAATGACCATGAAATGAATCTTTATTTTGGAAAAAAAATATATTGGAGATGCTACAAACGAAGTTGTAGGAAAAGCATCGGAATAAGATCTGATACATGGTTTGCTGATTCCAAAATAAGATTAGAAGCGGCAGTACACTTTATTTATTCATGGTATGAACAATTAACAATTATAAAATATTGTTTAAAACGTTCCTACCACAACAGTTGATTGAAATAATTACCTCTGTGAAGTATGTATTTGGAAAATTGAAAAAAATCAAACTTGTATATGGGAGACATCTTTTATTTAACATCTTAAATAAATTCCAAAAAACTAACAAGAATTGTTTTTTTATTACTGGCACCATGTTGTTTCATGTCAAAATATTAATTTCAAAACGTTCAACTACATTAAATTACTTCATGGCTTCTTCAACATTGATGTTGTACGCTTACTTAAAAGGAGCTAGTGTAATTTGAAAAAAATAAATAAATGTAATTTCCATCAAAGAAAAATCTAAATAAATAGGGGAATCAACTCCAAAGGGAAAGCAGCATTACGATATAGACTGTTTGAAAGCTCAGTATAAACAATAGTCTAAATTAGAATATTCATTCTAAAGATTATAGGGATAGTATACTTATTCACACCTGTAAATATAACTGTATTCACATTCACAGCTGTGAATACAAATTCAAATGTTTGTATTCATAAATGTAAATATACATATATATCATTTTATTTGAATACAAGTATATTCATATTTATTTGCACAGGGAACCATCTTTACGAATATATTTCATACAAATATAAATATGCCCCTTTTTCCCCCTCCATTTATTTATTTCATTAACAACATTTCAAGGCAATTGGCTCATTCTCAAGTTATCTAGAACAACCAAATACATTGTTAATAAAGGATGATAATTGATTTAGTTAGTTACAATTTAATTTACAATAACAATATTATTGTGAGAATTTACAAAAAATTAATCACATACCTATAACCTTGTATATTACATAATTCTACTGTCTCTCACTACCAGTCCAACAATAATAAACAATTCTTGTCCTTAACATTTTATTTATTTGCATTCAATAACACCTAATTGGAAACATCTCATATGATTACATTAAAGTACCCTTGAAAAATATATTGCTTGATTAGTAACTAAATATATATAAATATTCCCAATTTTGAACAGTAATTTGTACAAAATAATAGAAATAGACATAGACTAGCCATATAATAAGGATATGATTTAGGAAAATAAACATAAAATCATAACAATGATTTCTAAAGATCCATTAATTCAGAGAATATTAATTCATATAATTATAATACTCGGAATTAGAATATTAAAAAAAATTACTATAGTATAATAATTAAAAAAAAAAGAATAAATGGAATGTTAAAAATTACCTAGTATATAATTCCATTAAGTTTCTTAGATATTTATTTGTATCAGACTTGTCAGAAAGGTTGCTTACAATATGTTTCTGTAATAAGAGATACACAATACCTTAGAATAAATAACTTTTATAAATTAAAATCATATTCATACTAAATTTAATAGAATAATGGGAAATTTTAATTTTGTAATATTAATGCATTTTCAATTTTAACCACAAACTGACCTTTAGATATAAGTTAATTATTCATTTGCAAACAGGCACTTTTCTTTTAAAACATAACTGATAAGTATGGCCTAAATCTCATACTAATAATTCAAAAAGTATTTCAACATTCAGATAGGATAAAACTCTCTTGAAGGGATTCATAAAATGTAAATCACAGCTGAAAATTTAGATTAAAAAAAAATGAGACAGTCTAGTTATTAAAAAAATATTTATTAGAATTATAAACTGTAGTAGGTTGTGTAATTGTATAAAGATTTCAGATAAAATAAGAAATAAATAAATGAGTGTAATGATCAGATAAAAATAAATTAATAAACAAATAAGATAATATATGGTTAAAAAAAAAAAAAAAAAAAAAACTATACCACAACAACCCAAGGAGGGCTTGGGTTTCAATACTTTGTAAAGGTACTATTTCGCTGGTACTGCCCACAACAGTGAAATAGGCTCCTTTCTATTCCACTAAAGCTGTGTTTAACTGCTATCAGTCTGCACGGTGAGCAATATCAGCAAAATAGTACGTTAAGGAAGCACTGTTTCTTAGTCAATGGTTGTGCAAGGAAGTGATTTCACAGAGATCCCGAGAGGTTAATTAATTATTTAACCAAGAGTATCCACGTTATAGAGACTGGCTGTGTCCCAGGAGAGCCTCCCAACCCTATGGTTGTTCTACAGCTGATCAAATAGAATAAATAATTACCTGCCACAGCAGAACTTGAACCCCTAAGCATAAGGACACAGTGCCTTAAGGAGCTACCTTGTTCCCTATTTATATAGTTAATATATAATATATTATTATTAATGATAATATATTCATTAGTCATAATATATAAGTTATAATAGTTAACATATATTATCTATAAAACACAATAAAATATTAATGATATATAAGATCATATTGAATAAGAAAATATAAATAAGATCTCAGATAGCCCAGTGGTTAACAACAATATGGTATTTTTGCAATAATGATGCCATTGGCAGGGATGTAATTCATTTATAAATCATTGCAATATAAAATTATATTTCACAATTTAAGTATAACAACAATATTTTGTTCTATTCCTTAAAATAAAATAAAAATCATCATAAATACAAAATATTATAGAGATTGTATAATATGATCAAACAATTACCCCTCCAATTGCGAACCCTTGATAGCTGTTTGCTATTTTGAAAGGTGTCTAAAGGTATTTTTAAGCCACATTTGTGGACGGCCATATGTGGTCGGTACTAAACACAAATATTAACGAAATACACTCTACTTGAGTTAACAAATAAATTTTAATTTTATTCTTGTTATTCATATATTTTTTTTAAATACATAAAACTGTTATAGAATCTTTCTTATTTGAAAGTAAATTAAACTAAAAAAACCATCAATATTTTAACTTATGTAGAGTAAGCATAATTTTTTTTCAAATGTTAAAAAATATTATTCTTTTAAGGGCATGGAAGTCAAATGTGTTAATATATTGCCTTAGATTTTAAAGTCGTAAGCCTGTTTAAATAGGCCTGGTTGAGTTGAAATTTATTCCATGGTGAACTATAGAATCAATCTCAACCTTCTCACCCCGGCTAGAATAAGTTTGTAGCAGTTTTACATTCAAATCGACCTCTGATCAAATTTCCTTGCTTATTGATTAGATAGAAAGATAGATGGTAGAGATAGAAAAATATTAAAGTGAGTGATATCAGTGCAGTGAGTTTTATCACTTAGTCGTATTTATTTTGAACATTTAATTGTGAAGACTTTGCCCACAGTTTTGACTGCATCCCGAGTCACCCGAAGTGCGTATATGATGCCAAAGTTATTTTTAACTTTTTCCATAAATAGCCTACTGTGGCCTTGTTTTCGTCCAACGAGTTGGACACAAAAACATCAGCCACCGAGGTATTATCACAAAAGTTAAAACATTTGTAAAATATTTATTTTAATTTCAAGTTGACATTTAATTTATTTTTAGAATAATTTTATTTGATTTTTATTTGTGAAAAAGAAACCTTTATTTTGTTTATTCAAACAGTGAAATAAAGATTTGTGTTTTATTTTAGTTTGGGAACTTATAACTAGGGATAGGATTTTTATGTTTTCACATATTTTTTTCTGAGGACTATAGATGGTATTTTATGCCTTTTTAACATCTGCAACTATTCCAACCATTTTTATTTTACATATTTGGTTGTATTTAAATATTTTTATAAAAGTACATATTTTTGTTTATATTTTACTATACTACTTACTAAAAGAAGTTATTGTGATACCCTCCTAACACGCGTTTCTGGAAATAGGACTTCGGGACATCATGTTTACTTTCGTGGAAAATTAGAGGAGTGTTTTGAACTGCTTAAGGATTCTTAGAATCCTCCGATTCCTCAGTAATGTTTGTTGCCTATTCTTGTTCATATTTGTCTCAAACCTCAGTTGTTAATGCGAATCCGACCAGTAACAATCATGCCCCGAAAGTCAAAGAGACAAAAAAAAGTTTAGCCGCGAAGTATGCAACGGAGTTTCCTGATGAACCTTTTGAACACAATGGAGGAATCTTGTATTGCTTGTGTTGAGAAAAAAATGTTTCAACTGATCAACGATCTCTCGTCGTTCAACACCTCAAAACGGCCAAACACGTGGAGAATAAAAAGATAATTATGCTTAAAAAGCAAAGTTTTTTGACTGATTCACCAAGTAGGAGTAAGAACACGTTTAATTTAGACCTAAGCCGAGCCCTTTTAAGAGCTGATATTCCTCTTCATAAAATTAACAATCCGGCTTTTAAAGAGTGTCTTGAGAAGCATATTGGCCATGAAATGGCGGATGAAACTACTCTACGCAAAAATTATGTCAGAGAAATATACAATGAAACAATGGAAAAAATAAAATCATCAATTGGAAATGGACCCATTTTGGTTGCGATCGACGAGACGAAGGACATTCAGGGAAGATATTTAGTCAATATGATCGTAGGAAAACTTGCCAAACATCTGACAAACGGATTTTTACTTAATTGTGAATTTCTAGATAAGTGCAACCACGCTACCATCTCGTGATTCTTTAATGATTCGATCGGTCTTCTCTGGAATGATAGTTCTAAAAGTGAGAAAGTTTTGTGATTTTTATCAGATGCGGCACCATACATGGTAAAGGCAGGAATCGCATTAAATGTTTTCTACCCCAAAATGATTCATACTACTTGTTTAGCACATGCGTTACATCGAATCGCTGAAACAACAAGGACAAATTTTCCAAATGTTGACGCATTAATTTCTACTGTGAAAAAAATATTTTTGAAAGCACCAGCGAGGATCGTTTTATTTAAAGAAATGCATCCTAACCTAACTTTACCACCCCAACCAGTCCTAACACGTTGGGGGAAGTGGTTGGAGGCGGTAAAATACTACGCCGAAAACTACAAAAAAATAAAAACAATAACAGCGAATCATGATGTTGACTCCGCAGCTATTGAAAAAGCGAACTCGCTGTTCGAAAATCTGTATATTTAGTAACCTTGTATATTTAGTTAGTAACTTTACCTTTTTAGCTCGTTCAATCAAAGAGCTGGAAACTAAAAATATGGTATTGTCAAAGAGCCTGAAAATTTTACAAAATGTGAAAGATAAAATTGGAAAATCCCAAGGACAAATAGCTGTCATAATTTAAAAAAAAATTGAAAGACGTATTGTGAAAAAACCCGGGACTTAACGAACTGAAAAAAATAGCTCAAATTCACAGCGGCTATAAACCAAACTTCGACGAAGCATTGGAACATGAACTGGATGCCAAATAAATACTTTTTTTTAAATACACTCCCGTCACTTCAGTTGACGTTTAACAATCTTTCAGTAGATATAAGTCCCTATTAAGATCAAATCGATGTCGTTTTACGGAAGAAAACATAAAAAAACATTTCATATGCAACGTTTTTTATGATGCAGAAAAAAAACGTCAAATTTATTTTGTATTTAACAACTTTATATTGAATTATTTTTATTTTATAATAATAAAATAATGTATTAATTTTATTTTACATATTTTCAATTTTATTTTAAATATTTTGCAAATAATAAATGCATATTTATGTACATATTTTGACTTTTTTATTACATAAAAATCCTATCCCTACTTATAACTTTTATATTTATCAACCAGTATCCCAACAGGTTGGTTACCAGTGTCTAACCATAGTTGATGTGAATAAGGATATACACTTATATTTCATGACTTAATAAAACTTTCAAATAATTTGTTTAACCTAAAGAGAAAATTTTAAGCTACCTGTAGTTTTAAGTGGTAAATATTCAAAACAAATTTGGCCATGACTTGTTCCGGGTTACTAAAAACTTCTCTCATGATGCTAAAATTTTTTTTTGTGAGAGGTAATATTTCCTTGAAAATATCTTTTCCAACAAATGTTCCCTAAACAGAAATAACAACTTATTATTTGTAAAAAAATACTATTAAAAATAAAATAAAATCTCTGAAATACTACCATCTGACTTTCTTCAATGAAAGCATCAATGCACTGTGAGTAAGATTTGAAATGCATAAGGATATTCGCAATTTCTTTCATTCTGGTTGTTTCATGAACCCTATGTGACTTTACAAATTCTTCAATTAATGATCTTTCAATTTCATCATATTTTAAACTGATTTTTGATCTTGCATCTTTAAATCTAAAAAAAAAGGACAATAATTACTTATATAATTTGTTAATCAAATTATTATATAAATAAAATGAGTTTATAAAAATCAAATAAAGTTCACTTATTTTAGTCAAGTAATCAATATAGTAGTAAAAATAAAGCTTACTTGTCAGATGGAAGTTCTTGTGAGATCATATGAAGTTTTTGTATAATATCAGCAGCTTCAAAGACCTAAAAATATACTTCTGTTTGGATCTTTTTTTTTATTAGTTGTATATAAACAATCCAAACTTATAAATACACATGCCATATCATTAATCCAAAGGGAAAATCACAAATGTGAAAAAAGTCAAATTTCACTTATGAGCAAAGTTTAAAAATATTTTTGGGCCAAGTTTCCAAAGTTAAAATCATGAATGTGAAAAATTGACTTCTACAGGCCATTTGTGAAAATAAAATACTGTGAAAGTGATTTATGAAAGTCAAGGAAACTTCTAATCAAATTTTCTCAAAATTAGGAATTTGTACATTAGTAGTTTTAGTTTCAGAACAATGATATATAAAACGAAAAAATAAAATACAATAGAAATAATTTAAATGAAATTAAAGAAACAAGAAACAAACCTCGGTTCTCAGGCAAAGCCTATTATTCTAAGATATTGTTATTGAAGATCAATGTGGACTTAAAATTTATAACTTGCAATAATAAATTGTCTGTTACCTCTTCTTTATTTGAAAAGACGCTGGCAAGAACAGGTCCAGGGCTTAGAAATTCACTAAAATATACCATTAGCCTTTGTGCTTCAACAGCTCTAGATCTGGGAACATTGACACTTTCTAACTGATCTCCAAGATGTATTACTTTAGTTGCAACAAAATTTATTCTTTCATCCAAATCTTGAAACAAAGCAAAAGCTTCCTATGGAAAAAAATGTAAATCAATGTAATCAATAGTTATTATTTCAATTTAATTATATAAATAAAGATTTTTTTAATTCTAAAACTCTAGTGTCAAAAATAAACACAAACAATTAAAAAAAAACTACAGTTATGCCTGGTATAACAAAATATAATTAGTTTTACTTATTAAATTAAAAATAATTAGGTGTATTATGCAATAGTTAATATTAGTATTGGAAGATCTTAACACGTCTTCAATATCAGTAAATAACTAACCAGTTAATGTAACCCTAACTAAGATATCATCAGGGCAGAAAAACATTTTTATTTATTTGAATTTATTTGTTACAGATTATTTTACAATCATGTACAAATCATACATATATGAATAACTTTATTTCACCTACATGAGTCTAGTTTATCATAACTGTACATTGACTTACTATAAAAACAATAATACTTCATTACATTCCAATTAATTTCTATCTACATTATCAATAAAACCATAAGAAAAAAAGAAACAAACAATTAATTGAACTGACCAACAATTATCCTTAGTCATAGCACTTGATTGGTGTGTGGAACATCAGAGCTTAAGGAATCCAGTGAATTGCACACTGACATTATGAACCAGTAAATCTTGTTAAGTTTCTCTATGTTATCGATTGGAAGTATGTCTTGTATCTTGTTTACATCACTTGGCGCAGAGAGAAATGCTCGTAAATGTTTGTGTCTGTTGTCTGTTAGCTTTTCACAGTACAGAAGGATATGGAACAGGCTGTTAGAAATAAATTTGTTACAGAAAGTGCAGGTTTCCTGGGCTTCGAAGTAGAAACTTTTGTTTTTCGTATAGAGCTTAATTAATTCGGGATTTGAAACCCTTAACTGACTTATTGATCTTAGCTTTTTTATGTTAGCTCTATACATCAAATAGGACTCTGGGCTGGAAATATTGAAGCTGATAATAGTTCTATATATGGGATTGTTGATGGAATATATGGATAAATGGATGTTCTTAGATAGGTTATGGTTTTTTAGCTTTTCCAATATTTCATCGCTGTATTTTAATAATCCAGTAGGGTATACTTTATCGAACTATTCTTTACAGCCATAATGAGCAGCTATTGACCTGACTTGTGTGATCCAATTAAAGTTTATATCAGGATTCCTTGTATCCAGCAAAATTAATTTGTTGAAGCAAAGCCTTGGTAACCTCTCTTCAGGCATAAGTGACAATTTAGACCAGTAATTTATAATCCTTCTCATAACCCTGACACTCAAGGTGTTTCGGCCAGTTTCGAGATGTACAATGTAGTTGGCAGTAATCCTTGGCCACCTAAATAGTTGCTTCAGAAACTTCAGCTGTACCACTTCAATAGCATCCAGGTATCTTAAGCTCCATATTTCAGAAGAATACAGAAGGGTTGAAGACACCAATAGAATCAAAAAGAGCTATTTTTGTCTCCCATGAATCGTTTCTACCCTTCGCAAAATCTCCAATACTTTTCCCGTGGCAACAGAGGACTTCTGTATAAAGTGCTCAGATGCCTTACTAAATTTTTCTGAGGAAGTGAAAGGTACTCCTAAGTAAGTATAGGCCTTAGTGTATTCCAGATTTTTCTCATACCAGTAAAAGGGCTTAAGTTTCTTCATCCTGGGGGATTTATGGAATACTACAACTTTTGATTTTTCCTCATTTACAGTCAGGGAGTTCTTTTCGCAGTACTGTTGCAGGATCTTCAGTTTCTTTTGTGCTTCTTGCCAAGTATTACTAAGAAGAAGAATATCATCTGCTAGTAAGAGCATTTTTACTTCATGAGTGCTATCAATGCTTACGCCTGTGGCTCCATTATATTGAAAAAATTGGATTATATCTGATATGAACAAGACAAAAAGTGTTGGACTAAGACTTTCTCCCTGTAACAGGTCAGATGTTATATCTATGCTATCCGATAGTTGTCCTTTGATTGCAATTTGAGTTGTAGCATTGTCGTACAGCACCTTCATTATCCTTATAAGTTTTCCTCCAAGTCCGAGAGAAAAGAGTTTTTCCGTTTTTCCCATAGCAGGTTATGGTTGATGGAGTCGAAGGCTTTCCGTAAGTCTATAAATGCATCATATAAGTAGATGCCTTCGGTTCTAAATTTAATACCAACTAGTGACATTAGTGTGAAAATGTGGTCTGTGCATCCTCTACAACTTCTAAACCCCGCTTGTTCTTCAAGTATAAGGCTTTCATATTCAGTCCATTGTATAATCCTGCTTGCCAGAATACTGGTAAATAACTTCAGCATTGTATTTAAGAGGGATATTCCTCTGTAATTATCTGTATCCGTCCTGTCTCCCTTCTTAAACAGTAAATGAAGTTTGGTTTAGGCCACTGTAGGGGAAGTTTCTCACAGTTCATCACTATATTAAATAGGTTGAGAAGATAAATCAAGGCAGAAAAACATAAGATCATATAAATACAGACCAGAAATATTACACTTTGGATTAAGATGAAAGATTAACCAAACAGAATAACATATCAATAAAATCAAGTTCAGTATATATTCTATACTAAATCAAATCGGTTAGTCATTCACTGCAAAAGGGGACTTGAGGCTTTGTGTATATAATAAATTAAAATATTTATTTAACTCTAAAAAAGAAAATAAGGTTTAAAATTTAGAAAAAATAGAAACAACTTCATTGGAAAATGTAGCATAAACATAGTACAAAACTAAAGATAAATGATTTACTGAGATATTATGATAATTACAACATTTGACAAATGGAACCAATATATATCATACATTACTTGATAAAACTCGTCAAAGGACCTTAGAAAATTTGGAAGCTTCAATTAAGTATATTTTCTTTTTTGTTTCTAACCTAATTTTATTGTATATTTTATCCACCCAAAATATCACTGCTGTATCAATAGATTGATCACAACTTATAATATATATTTTTTTAATATAAATGTCTCATATTATTTCATACACATGTGTAAGGTGTCTCAATTCTTAATGGTCAAACCCTGGGGAGTGTTTCTAGACGAAATTTCGACAAAAAAGTTCATTTGATGCATGAGCCCATTCCAAACAGAAAAGGGGTCAAGACCAATTTTGTGTGATCACATTTTTTATAAAATAAGAAGGAATTTCTCAAAAACTATTCAAGACAGTAAAATTCTAAGTGAACCATCGAAAAGTAGACAAATTTTTTTTTAGCAAACAGTGATTAAACTTACTAAGGTCAATGATAAAAGTGACTTTCAGTAGGTTTAATATAGCCGCTGTACAAAGATATGCTGCTCGTGTGTGGGTACTGTGACTGCTGCAGTACAGCGGCCATATTAGACCTCCTAAAAGTCTCTTTTATCATTGACCTTAGTAAACATAATCAGTTTTCTCAAAAAAATTTGCCTACTTTTTTACGATGGTGAACTTAGAATTTTAGTATCTTAATAACAGTTTTTAAGCAATTCCTTCTTATTCATTAAAAAACGTGACCACACAAAATTGTTCTTAACTCCTTTTCCGTTCAGAATCAGGCTATGCATCAAATGAACTTTTTTGTTGGAAATTTTGTCTAGAATTACCCCCAGAGTTTGGCCATTAAGAACTGAGATACCCTGTGTGTATATATACATATATTCAATTTCCATTTTCCATGAAAATAACAGAACCAAGGTTTGGATCCATCTACTAAATACTAATACTTCCACTAAACGCATATAATAATAACATTAACTAAACTGAGAAACTTTAGAAAATGTTTAGAGTAAAACTGACTTCTAATGAAACAGCCATACTTGTTTTAATTTTATTTACAAACCTTATTTTTGTCCTGCAAATGAGCTATATCCTGGAAATGATTAGCTTCTTCTTCCTTGCAAATGAGTTCAAGTTTTTCACATTTCTTACACTGACGATCTTGAAGAACTTGCAAATCCCTAAATACACACATCCATATGTGAATATATAATAATAAGAACAAGAATAAGAATTTAGAAGAAGAAGAAGAATTATTAATCAGAATAATATATAATAAGAATATTGGAAAGGAATTTGGGAAAGAAAAAAATGTTATAATACCGATGCACATTGGTTGAAAAATATTCACTGTAATCAATCAAACCTCCAAGCTATGGAAACAACCAGTATTACTGTGGAAGATGTAGCAAAGTCACTTAAGCAAATGAAAAACTGGAAAGCTTTTGGGCCAGACAAAATAAAAAATTATTGACTGAAGTATTTCAGCAGTATTCACAGTCATCTGGCTTCATGGTATCCAAACTAATATCTGAAGAGGTAGACCTTCCTGCAAATTTCTGCACAGGCATGAGTTATTTAATAAGAAAAGCAAATAAGGAAAAATTGGAGCCCCACGATTTGAGACCGTTAATGTGTTTAAATGGCGTGTACAAGCTATTAATGGCTGTCATCATGTTACGATCTTTAATTTAGAAAAATTGTTTCCGCAACAAATTTGTCAGATGCTCAGTGAAGACGGTAGGGTTCACAAAATAAAAAAAAATAATCAAGAGTCAATTAAATATTAATAACTGCCTAACGAGCGCCATGCTATTTAATCAGTTGAATTTGGAAAATAGCGAAAACCATAAAAAAAAAAAAAAAAAAAAATAATAATAATAAAAAATGGGGTTCCAGAACCACGAATTCTCGTGGCCGAACCCTGCTGTCTGCACTCAATTCCCAACGTTTTCACCTCCTTTCCCCCAACTCTCCTACCTACTGGCCCACAGATCCCAACCGTAATCCTGATCTTCTTGATTTCTTTATCCACAGCGGCTTAAGTCCCCTCAATTGTTCCATTACACGTCTAAATGAACTTTCCTCTGACCATAGTCCTCTAATCCTTAATGTTTCACTTGAACCCGTTCCCAAACCTCCACCGTCATTTATTAGGGGTCCAGTTAACTGGGACCTTTTCCGCCAAATCATCTCCGATAAAATAGATCTTAACATAACCCTCAAAACTCCCGATGACCTTGATAGTGCCGTAAATTCCTTTACTACCACAATCCAACAAGCCGCCTGGACTGCCTCCTTCCCAAAAGACTCCTCCAGAATTCCTATAAAGACCATTCTACCCCAACACCTCCTTAACCTAATCCGCACCAAACGCCGTGCCAGATTATTATGGCAACGTACCCGACATCCTACCGACCGCTGCTCCTATAATTACTACAGCAAACAATTAAAACTGGAATTAGCCACCTTCAGATCGCAATCCTTCAACTCCTACCTATCCTCTCTCTCTTCTCGCGACAATTCCCTTTGGAAAACCACAACAAAAATCCTAAATCCTCACCGCATTTCCCATCCTCTCCGACGAGGTGATGGCTCCTGGGCAGCATCTGACGAAGATAAAGCTGAGGAGTTCGCCATTCACCTATCCAATACATTTATTTCACATCCGGAATCCCATCCTGCCCACACCGTAACAGTAGAAGAACTCCTTACATCACCAATCCCACTTTCCTTGCCCCCAAAAGCTATTCATCCTTCCGAAGTAAAATTTCAATTAAAAAAACTAATCCCCCGTAAAGCTCCTGGACATGATCTCCTTACATCTCAAATCCTTCGACAACTTCCATCCAAAGCAGTCATATTCCTTACATATATCTACAATTGTATCCTACGCACCACCCACTTCCCTCTGTTATGGAAACACTCCACTATTATCCTTTTCCCAAAACCAGGAAAACCTCTCAATAGCTCAACATCCTATAGACCAATCAGCCTACTCCCAATCCTTTCAAAAATTTTTGAAAAGATCCTTTTGAAACGAATCCTACCCATTATAGAATCCCAAAATATCCCTTCCCATCAGTTTGGTTTTCGCTCTCAACATTCTACTGTTCAACAAGGACTCCGAGTTGTTGATCATATTTCCTCAGCCCTAGAAAACAAGGAATACTGTTCGGGTGCCTTTCTGGACATTGCACAGGCATTTGACCGGGTATGGCACTCCGGACTGCTCTCCAAGCTTAAAATCCATTTACCTCAGTCCTTGTACCTAGTCCTCCGATCCTACCTCTCTGACCGCTCCTTTCGAGTTCGCTGTGGAACAGAATTTTCCAATATCTACTCCGTTAAAGCCGGTGTTCCCCAAGGCAGCGTCTTGGGTCCCGTGCTTTACATCCTCTTTACTGCTGACATCCCTGTTCATCCCGATACTTTTCTTGCAACATTCGCTGACGACACCGCAATCTTATCATCCAACTCTGATCCCGAAATAGCATCCTTAAATCTCCAAAACCACCTCACCTTGATTGAGCACTGGTGTAATAACTGGCGCATTAAAGTTAATGAATCTAAATGCCAACACATTACCTTTACACTCCGACGCAGTTCCTGTCCACCAGTACACTTTAATTCCATCCAGCTTCCTTACTCAGACACAGTCCGGTATCTTGGCTTTCATTTAGACCGAAGACTAACGTGGAACCCACATACTAGACTCAAAAGACAAGAACTCAACCGACGATACGGCCAGCTATACAGACTACTAAACAGAAAATCCAAACTTTCTATTGAAAACAAATTACTTATCTACAAGACAATACTGAAACCTATATGGACATACGGACTTGAACTGTGGGGGACAGCAAAAGCTTCTAACATCAAACGTATTCAATCCTTTCAATCTAAAGTCCTTCGAACAATAGTTGATGCTCCGTTCTATGTAAATAACAAAATCCTACACCATGACCTTAATATCCCATTTGTCCTAGACCTTATTCCAGAAAAATTCTCCAAATTTCACCAGAACCTTACCTATCATCCAAATCCCCTTGCACAATCTCTATCCAGCACCACCCATCCTTACAATCCTCCACGAAGGTTGAGGCGGCAGTGGCCCAGAGACCTTTTGTAAATAAGCATCTATTGGAGTTTTGGCAATGGCCAGATCCTCCACTCAAGCCCGAGTGTGTATGATTAGGTTAGTTCTTTTGTTTATTTTATTTTATTTTATTGTATTTATTTTTATTTTATTTTATTGTATTTATTATTATTAAGTTTCTGTATTATTATTTTTTTTTTTATTGTAAATAGAGTGTGAGTGTGCTTTCTCTGAACACTATTATAAATGTCCTTGATGTGACAGAATGTAATATTTCTAAATAAACAAATATAAAAAATAATAAAAAAAAAAAATAAAATAAAGAAATAACTTTAATTAAAAAAAAATTTGAATGTGGAGTAAGCTACGAACTCGGAACCTATGGGTTTAAAAACATATGTTAATTAACCTCATAACTTATCGAACCTTCTTATTTGGTTAATATTCATTTTTCCTAACCCCTCGAATAGGGTTTTACAATTTCTTATTAAACCTTAAAAAAAAAAAACAATATAATATATACATAAAACATGAAAACAAACTGAAGAAAAAGAAGAAAATAAAACTGGCTATTATTAATAGTAATGATGAATTTACTTATTTCTATTGATTTAAATAACTGTTAAAGGAAATGAAAATTATGAACAAGAAATTAGATTTATAAGAAATCAAAGAAAATACAATTAACTTTAATTATCAAAAAAAATATTATAAAATTATTATAGAACTACACATTAACTTACGATTATACAATAAACCAATTACAAATATTTGGGGAAAAAAATAGATAGGAAAAACTTATATGTACATATTTACAATATCTCAATGCCGAACTTTGTCCAATTGGCACATTAAGTTATCTGAAGAAGCGAGAACTTATTCCAGCTAGTGTCATCAGGGTTTCCCCAGTCCACCTCCTCAAGCTGTGAAAATATTCATTCACCAATTTGTAAAATCAAGCGGCACTCGTCGCTGATAATCACAGGTTCTTGGAGAATAAATGAAAAATGTGGTGTACACCGTAAAACTAAAGTATTTCACACATAAAAATCCTTAGCATACCTCAACACTTGCGAGGTTCCACCACCTCTCTCTAAACTCTCTTTTGTTTTTCTCCCAATCATCTGTTGGTTATTCCAATTCGAAATAAATGAATACTTAAAACTAAGACTTATTATAAACTAATACTTATTATTAAAACTAATACTAATTAATTCATTTTATCTAACCCTCTTCGAGGTAATAAAAAAAACTAACAATTATTTTACGAACTAATTTTTTTTTTTGTATTTTATTTTTCGTCACAATCAGAAACAAGTTGACTAACTATATTCAAGGAAACGTCATCCTGTTTGTGGAACAGCTAGGTAATAAACCAGGTTCAAGAGAATGCAAAGAACTTCTGTTGATAGATTCGTTTATTGCAACTCAAGTTTCAAAAAGATCTCGCAATATTGCTAGGTCCATGTTCTTCGATACATGTCGCTATATCTTGGGTTGATTATCGTAAAGCATTCGATTCAGTTTCCATATGATTGGCTTTTGGAAGTTGTGAAGATCTATAAAGTGGATTAGACAATAATAGATTTGTTAAAACATTTAATGCAAATTTGGAAGGTATCACTCTGCACACCAAATTGGAATGGATTAAGTACCAATGAATATATACCAATAAAAAGGGGTATTTTTCAAGGTGACTCCCTTAGTCCCATTTGGTTCTGTTTGGCATTAAATCCACTCAGTAAACTACTGAAAGTATTTAGATGATAATCTGCACAAGGTAGTGGCGGGAAAAAAAAGAAAATAAGTAGAATTGGCGGAAGAATTAAAACAACTGTATGATTTAAAGGAAAGTCGGATTTTACCGTTGGTGATTTCACGTAATGGGTTAATACCAGAAGAATCTCAATCTTCTTTGTGTGAGCTGAATTTGCTGTTTGTGACAATGGAAAAAATGCAAATGGCAGTATTGTTGGAAACAATTCGAAAATTTACAAATATAAAATATATGAATGTAATATTTGGTTGACCAATTCGGTTTCCAACTATTACAAACAACCGTGTAATGTGTGAAACAAATAA